GTTCAAGAAATCAACAGATATGTCTGTGATTGGCTACATTGCTCAACGCTGCAAAAGATGTTGAAATAGAAACCGATCTCCAGAGCGCAAACCATAACGCACTGGATAGTTTGCCAAATCTGCAATGAAATGCCATTATTACAGCATTAACTGAGGGTGCTATTGATTTCATTTGAGGGTGCACCTTCTAGCACCCCCGTAGAACCGGGCCTGCTGAAACAATGAATAAAGGACAGATGGATGGAAAGAAGGAAGGAGTGAATGAATAATAAAAATAAGGAATGAGGAAAGGAGGAGGAATAAATTATGGTAGGAAAGAACAGATAAAAGAATAAATTTTGGAAGGAGGGATGAAATCATTAAAGAAGAAGGGAATAGGATGAATGAAGCATAGGGCTGAACCAATGAATAAATGATGGGTGGATGGAAAGAAAAAAGGAGTGAGTGAAGGAACAAACAAATGAATGGAAGGAAAGAAAGAAAGAATGGGTGAATATGAGTAAATGAAGGATTAAAAAAGAATGAAATAATAAAAGGAAGGAATGACTAAACCAACAAATGAACAACTGTAATATGGAAAGAATAAGAAAACAAGAATGAACAAATCAATGAATGAATGAATGATTCAACCATTAAAAAAGAAAAAGACAAAATGAATAGAGGCATAAATGAAGGAAGGAAGGACTGAATCGATCAAAGAGTGATGGAATGAAGTCAGTAAGAACGTTCAGATGTTTCTTGTGTCTGTGCTCGCAGGAAACAGAGATCCTGAACACCGCAGTGCTGAACGGGAAGACGGTGGCGGTGCCGGTGAAGGTGGTGACGGTGGGCACAGACGGGACGGTTACAGACGTGTCAGACGCTGTGCAGTGCCAGTCCACTGATGAAGACGTGGTTAAGGTCAGTCCTCTGAGTGATTGTTCCTGCCTCCTTCAATCATAATGATTCACTCGAATGAACAAACAAACCAAAGCATGTTGTGTCATGTTGACTTTTAATCAATATGATAGGATTCAAATGAAGCACACAATAAATTTCATTCATTTCTAATGAGGTTTTTCCAATGATTAATGGAGGTGATAATTATTCATCATGTCGGGATTCTTATTAGAATTGGAAAAAATGCTTCAAGAATCAATCTGAACTTGAACGGATCTGTTGGAAAGTTATTTTCAAAGAAAATGCATCTCAATGATAGTCCTCAGTCATCCGTCCTCCTCCATCTGTCTGTTCTCACTCTGACGCTTGTTTAATAGAGATCCGTTTCTTTATTTCTATATCAGCATGTTACAACAAGCTGGCAAGATGCCATGTGTTGTCCCTTGTGAAAAAGAAGTATACTTAAGCAAAAAGAGTACTTATTACAGAAGTCATATACAGTAAGTGTGAACTGAATGTAATGTTTTGGACACTCATGAATAGTTCACACAAATTTGGAAATTTGCTGACAATTTACTCAATTTGTAGACGAGTTTGTTTCTTCATTGGAACAGATTTGGAGAAATTTAGCATTGCATCACTTGCTCACCAGTGAATAGGTGCCGTGTGTCATGTTGACTTTTAATCAATATGATAGGATTCAAATGAAGCACACAATAAATTTCATTCATTTCTAATGAGGTTTTTCCAATGATTAATGGAGGTGATAATTATTCATCATGTCGGGATTCTTATTAGAATTGGAAAAAATGCTTCAAGAATCAATCTGAACTTGAACGGATCTGTTGGAAAGTTATTTTCAAAGAAAATGCATCTCAATGATAGTCCTCAGTCATCCGTCCTCCTCCATCTGTCTGTTCTCACTCTGACGCTTGTTTAATAGAGATCCGTTTCTTTATTTCTATATCAGCATGTTACAACAAGCTGGCAAGATGCCATGTGTTGTCCCTTGTGAAAAAGAAGTATACTTAAGCAAAAAGAGTACTTATTACAGAAGTCATATACAGTAAGTGTGAACTGAATGTAATGTTTTGGACACTCATGAATAGTTCACACAAATTTGGAAATTTGCTGACAATTTACTCAATTTGTAGACGAGTTTGTTTCTTCATTGGAACAGATTTGGAGAAATTTAGCATTGCATCACTTGCTCACCAGTGAATAGGTGCCGTCAGAATGAGAGTCCAAACAGCTGATAAAAACATCACAATAATTAAAAATTACTCCACACCACTCCAGTCCATCAATTAACGTCTTGTAAATCAAAAAGCTGCATGTTTGTATGAAACAAATCCATTATTAAGGCGTTTTAACTTTAAACCATTGTCTTGTGATTCAGACAAGACCATTTTTTTTCACTGGTGAAAGCAATATTATGGATAGAGGACTCATATTTTAGCCTGAAATCAAAAACTTCTTGATGGATTTGTTTATTACAAACACACAGCTTTTCACTTCACAAGACAATGTGAAGTGTATTTCACTGTATTTATGTTCTACTGTTAGTGTTATCTGTATGCACCAAGGGTCTGAGAGTAACGCAATTTCAATTCTCTGTGTGTATGTGCTGTGCATGTGGAAGAATTGACAATAAAGCAGACTTGACTTGATTTGACAATAATTGATGGACTGGAGTAGTGCAGACTAGACTGGAGTCGTGTGGATTATTGTGATGTTTTTATCAGCAGTTTGGACTCCCGTTCTTACGGCACCCATTCACAAGATTTGAAGTACACTGCAAGGGCACATTGAATACAGTTAAGCACACTTTTTATTCACAAGAGTTCCACTTTTTGATTTCTAAAATTTCTATATATTTTTTTTTTATAATTCTTGTCTTTTTGGGTTTCTTTCAAATGCCTCCAGCTGGAGCTCGGTCACATATGAGCTCAGATTCAATCATATCATATATAATTATGATATGTTTGATTACGCATGAGACGAAATCTGCTGAAGCTTGTTTCTTAACAAGACTGGATTGTATGATTTTTTTCTAGAGATGGTAATTTGTGTTTGACAGGCCTATTAAGTTGAGGTTGTTTAGACATGAAATTCTCTAATTTTAAATGACCCAAAAGACTTACGCAATCAGCTTTCACTGTGGGATTGATTTAATGCCGGCGACATTCGTAAGAATGTTTTTAATTGCTAATTTCAGTGTATTTCTTCACAGTTAAAAACACAGCTGTGCTTCAGCTAAAACTCCCTCTTAAAATCATTAAAGGCTTTGGTCATATGCAAATGATCAAAACGTTGTATATGTTTACATAGACTGCAATAATCCAACGTTGGGCCTAACATTTCATTCATATTCATGAGTAAAAGTTTTAGCTTATCCCAGTTCATACTGTAGCTGAAGATGTGCAAATTACTTTGGATATGTTGTGAAAATGGAATATGTGCAGTTATTACCTTAAGGAGCTATTTCTACTTGATATGATCCTTAAAATGACTTCCGTTGGCTAATCTAATGTAGTCTGGCTGATTCACACATTAAATAACCAGCTAATAAAACCAGCTAATTTAGATGTCACCTCATGAAGCACATATTTAGCCTGCAGTCAGAGTGTCCCTCCACTTTAAAACTTAACTTTGAACTGTTAACTTTATCAAAGACGGGGGAGTGTTTGTAAAACCAGTCATTATTTAGTGATGCTTGAGATACAGAAATTACATACTGCAGCTTCAGAGTATCTTCTTTCTGTGGCCTGACTAGAACAGTGCAGGGCAATACATGATTCATCACCTGCTCTGTAAAAATCCTACATTAAAAAAAAAAAAAACTTGGTTGGCCCCAGTTTGCTATCAAATCATTCTTTGATTTTTGTCTAAACCTTTTGCTATTGTGGAGATTTTTCATCTTATATGAAAACCTACACACAATCACCTTCAGCCCAGAGTCCTAATTTCAACAAATTATTTTAGTAGTTCACTTACTTTTAGAATAACAGCATGCTATGGAATCTGAGGCATATAATAAAGTTTTGCAATTATTCAATCAAACCTTAGCTGACCATGTGAAAATATCTCTGAAACATGAGCAGAATGACAAATCATTTTAACTGATGGGGATTAATGTTACAGTAAGTATACAAGTGTGGCATTGTAGCTAAATAATGTATGACGTACACACTAATGGATCTGCTTGGATCACAATCACAATGTAGTGGGTTAGAAAGATAACCATTTTGATATGAATTTTCTATTTCCTTGGAGACTGATGCTCTGTGTGCTTTTAAAAGAACTATGTAATAAAATAAGGAACAATGTAATAAGGAGTGTGGAAGATTGGAAAATATTTTGTTTCTCCAGAGAGTTCGAGTGAAAAAAGCAATTTTCTTCCTATATCATGACCACCAATTTGGATATTGCATCATTATGTACAGTTTGGATCATTTTCTCCCAATTAATTTAATACAGAAACCCATCAGCCTGCCTATAGCCACAACAATACATAGTTAAAGAAAATAAATGTAATGCATAATAGACTAAATTACACAATCTCTTTAGCTCAAGCGGCAGTGCCAAAATGCTGAATAGCTATACTGTGCTGCATTATATCATGTTCTTACATGCTAAATAGAAAACATTAGCATTTTTATCTTTATTAATGATTGAGCAGTGCTACAATTGGTGAAAGCACACTAGTTATGCATTCGTGCATTCTAAAATACTTACAGGAGAGCTTTATTTAAAATAAATAAATTGTGAAGCAGTTGCTTGCTGACATGAGGTCCCAGATTCTGCATGTTTCCAGACTTGCTGTTGGCTTTGTTTGCTCTGTTTTTCTGATGTAACCTGCTTGAGTAGCAGTCTGTGTCTGTAGTTACTAGCCACACAACTCAATATGTCTGAAGTGCAGACTGTAAATACATCTCTTCTGATTTTGTCACAAATTGTGAGAACGTTGGCAAGTAAGGTCATTCTGACATCAACTTCAAATCAAAGCGCCTGAAGTTCTTTCAATCTGGTCACAAACAGCTGGATCAGTTTCCAACTTCTGAGAACTTCAAGAGCATATACGAGTGTTTGATAGTTGACCTTGATTAAAGTATGTAATTCTCACTCATCATATTTCAGTTTTGATATCCCTCGAAGCTATGTGCACTTGACATTTGTACATGTACAAAGAAGAGCACTTCCTACACATCCAAAACACAATGTCTTCAGAGTAGTTGCTTATTTTGAGTTTTTTTCCCCTGCCATTTTTCTTCCTAATAGCCTTAAATTTGTTTTCCTCATTTTTTCTTTTCCTTTTTTTCTTTTTTCTTTTTTTCCTTAATGTAATTGATCTAATATTGCTTATTTAAAAAAAAATTATAAATCAAAAAAACAAAATTGTCCGCACACTGAAAGACAAACAATTAGACCAAGGCAAAATTTATTTAATTTAACATCTACAAGGTGAAAAAAGTGCAAAAAAAAGTGAAAAGTGACTTAAAAACAGACCAAAGTTTTTTGATGCAAAAAATAAATAAATACAATAAAATAATCCATTTACTGTGACACTTCATAAAAAGTCAACTGGCCAGTAAAGCTATTTTATTTACCTTTTCTAAATATTCATCACATTTGATGCTTGGTAAAAGTTAACTTTGGATCCTCTTTACTTGGTTGTATGATATTCAGAACAATACTGTATGGTGGGGTTGGTGAGATTTTTTTAAATATTTTTGAAAGAAGTCTCTTATGCTCAGCAAGGCTGCATTTATTTGATCAAAATTACAGTAAAATCTGTAATTTTCTTAAATATTACGTTTTAAATAGCTTCTTATTATTATCAATGCTGAAAACAGTTGTGCTGCTTAGTATTTTGTGGAAACCATGGTACATTTTCTTTCAGTTTTTAAGAAAGTTCAAAAGAACAGTGTTTATTGGGGATTTTTTGTACACAATCTAAGTCTTCGTGTCACTTTTGATCAATTTAATGCATACTTCCTGAAAAAAAGTATTAATTCTTA